ACAGTCTGACTCAGTAAGTTTAGATTTAGTACAAGTAAGTACTTTAGTATCAACAAAGTTCTTGAAAATATTTTTAAATATCGTCAGTATGGTAACACACACGTATCACCATAGTGCCATGTGTTTCTATAGTAGGATGTGTTGCCATGGTAACATGTGTTGCCATGGTAAAATGTGTTGCCATGGTAACATGTGTTGTTATGGTAACATGTGTTGCTATGGTAACATGTGTTGTTATGGTAACATGTGTTGTTATGGTAACATGTGTTGCCATGGTAACATGTGTTGCCATGGTAACATGTGTTGCTATGGTAACAAACCTTCTCATCGTGTTCTTTATGTTGCTGGTTCTCTTCCTCCTCACTGGTCTCGTTATCCTCGTTAGGCTCTGTGTAAACCTTCCTGTTCACATTCCTAGCACTCTTCCTCATCTGGAGTTATATAGTGTTACTATAGTAACTAGTAACTACTATATATACTATATATAGTAACTAGTAACTACTATATATCATCTGTAGTTATATAGTGTTACTATAGTAACTAGTAACTACTATATATACTATATATAGTAACTAGTTACTACTATATATCATCTGTAGTTATATAGTGTTACTATAGTAACTAGTAACTACTATATATATATAGTGTTACTATAGTAACTAGTAACTACTATATATCATCTGTAGTTATATAGTGTTACTATAGTAACTAGTAACTACTATATATATATAGTGTTACTATAGTAACTAGTAACTACTATATATCATCTGTAGTTATATACTGTTACTATAGTAACTAGTAACTACTATATATCATCTGGAGTTATATAGTGTTACTATAGTAACTAGTAACTACTATATATACTATATATAGTAACTAGTAACTACTATATATCATCTGTAGTTATATAGTGTTACTATAGTAACTAGTAACTACTATATATCATCTGGAGTTATATAGTGTTACTATAGTAACTAGTAACTACTATATATCATCTGTAGTTATATAGTGTTACTATAGTAACTAGTAACTACTATATATCATCTGTAGTTATATAGTGTTACTATAGTAACTAGTAACTACTATATATATATAGTGTTACTATAGTAACTAGTAACTACTATATATATATATAGTGTTACTATAGTAACTAGTAACTACTATATATATATATAGTGTTACTATAGTAACTAGTAACTACTATATATAATATATATACTGTTACTATAGTAACTAGTAACTACTATATATCATCTGTAGTTATATACTGTTACTATAGTAACTAGTAACTACTATATATCATCTGTAGTTATATACTGTTACTATAGTAACTAGTAACTACTATATATATATAGTGTTACTATATACTGTATTTGTAGTTATATATATTATTATATAATATACAGATGACCGAGATATGAAGCATAACGAGTTTATTCATTACGTGTGATCAGGTGATTGGTTTACCTAATGACGTGATAAGGTGACCCCGTTAACTACCCCGTTAAACATTATGGGAATTGTTAAGGGTGCCCAATTAAGGTGTCGTGTCACGGTGTCACATAATCACCCAGTCAATTTTGTTAACGAGATACAGAAGATACTTGATAACTTCGTCATTTTTAATCCGTTTTGCCTCATGTTTTCAGATCATATGCAACATTTGATAATCTACCGTCTCTTAAAAAATTAGGCGTTCAGCATGTTCAGAGAAAACAATATAGGTGTTTTAATATTGAATGGGCGTGGTCTAAAATATTCGAATTTTCAAATTTTGACGACGGAATCCTCGAACCAGTAAGTACAGTATGCCATCTGCAAAGCTACAGCCCTCAAATTTAAAACACGGCGGAGCTATTAAGGCCAACGTATGGGTACTGACTTTTGGCCCACCCTGTATATATTAGTGTTATATATATATTAACATTCTAACCAAACAAACTCACCAGGACAATAGAAACAACATGTTATAATTATGATATTCAGTAATCTACTAGTACCCCCCCCCCCCCCCCCCCCGAATCTACTAGTATAGTAGAGTGTAGTTACTACTGGTTACTACTAGTGTAGTTCTACTAGTAGATTACTAGTGTACTATAATGTATACTCTGTATAGTGTACTGACCCCTAGTTCGTATATTCGGATCCTGTGTGCTACTTCTAGATCATCCTCGTTAGCTAGCTCATCCGTCTCATCTACTTGTTCTTTCTTCTTCCTCTTCTTAGCTTTCTTCACCTGTGTGGAGAGCAATTTGTGCGTTATTAAATGAGTAATATCAACAATAAGCAAGTTTGTCGGGGTTCTCCTTATATGGGTATCACGTGGGATTGTATTAACTAGCTATAACAGGTACTTTGCCAACTACTCTCTTCATACAGGAGGGTCTGTAATCTGTATGTTTTAATTGTGCAACATGGGAGCACCCTCCAAAAGTAGATCTCCAGTAGAATATGGCTGAGACTTTAGCTATGACCTAAAGTTAAAGTCTCATACAAAAATATTGAAATTTAATTATTGTAGGGGCCAAAATCTATCACATTTTGTTTGTGTTTCCAAATATGGGGATATAGTTTTTGGCTCATAACACGGACATTTTTTTTCAAACTGGATGTCGATTCGTGTATGAGTTCAGGGGACTAACAACTGGCTTATCTTGTAAATCTTAACGAAGAATATAAATCTACTAAGTATATCAAAATGTAGGTTTTTTCTGATTTTGGCCCGGGGATATACTTCAATATACTTTAATATACATAAATATGGTCAGCCCACCACCCTATCTTTGCTGTAAGTACTTGCAACCTCATGAAGTTCAGTGAAATTGGACAGATTTAACTATTAGGTTTAATCTTAATGGCAAAAAGAATAAAATTGTTTCAAGCATTAAAATGAACGCACAGGTTTGTCCAGAGGAAGATACGCTTTCTGTTCGTTAACAATCTCCCAAAGTTTGCCCTGTCTGAGCTGATGCTCGCTATCAGGGGGCCTCAACCTCTCCACAACACGCTGCAACTGTGAGTAAGACGCAGAGAACAGGGACCATTGGTCGGGACTGTAGGGATATTTCCACCTGTACAATCTGTGGCTTTTCTCTGTGTCCTGAGGTGGTGAAATAGGAGAAACTGTGACATTATATTAAAAATTAACAGTTGCAAATTCTGTGATACAGGGTGATCAGTGTTAATAACTCAAGAACGGTTTAAGAATGGTATTTAATAATTACAGTGTTATGTAGGATATGACTTCTGGAGTCTGTGCAAATATGTCTAGACCTTAAACCCATTGGCATAGGGTGCCTCATGAATTTTTTACAAAGTTTCCAATATATAATTTCTCGTGTTATCAATTTGTTCTGGGTCCTTAAGTAAATATCACGTGATGTTCAGCTCGGATAACCACATCATTTGCTTTTTTAATAAACACTTAGTCAGTTAAAGAGGGCCAAATGAACAGGTTCTTGATGGAGTTTTGCCCTGCAATTTTGAATACAGATTTTGGAGCATCATAGCACATGACTTGAAAAGTTTCAAAATTGTAGGTTAAATTTGAGGCAAGTAATTCACAAAATTCCAACTGTTTAGAAACACTCATGGATACTTAACTCGAAATGTTGAACAAAACTGTTTATCTTACTAACCGATATGAACCAATATTGTGAACTCTCAAAATCTCGACCCAAAGGAAGAAATCTCAGATTGTCAGGTGAGAACTGGGAGTTGAGTTCGGTTTTGAATCTTGAGTTTTCATCAAACTGACTGAGACAAACAAACTTCAGTATCTCTAGTTTTACTGTTCTTGGCAGGTTATTGAATAGACTTTCACCAAGGGAGGAGTATATTTTAGAGTCTCTATCCTTAAAATAACTTTGCAGAGTGGAGCTGAGTTTTGGAATGTTTGTTAGGACACCACATCTTCGTAGCAAACTGATGAGGAGCTGTTCGACGGCATTACCACAAGCTGAAATATGTATGTTAAAATGAACTGTAAAATTTACTACCAAATTATCACTGATGCAGTGTATAATGATGTGTATAATAGTTTCTAATTGATCTAATGAATATCCACAATTACGATAATTTAACTGTCCCGAGTAACTCACCATCAAGATAAGAATCATCATCAATCTTGCTTGTTGAAGAATTCAGCCCATCTTCAATCGTATCAATGAAAAATTGGGGGATCCCCAGTAAGCTACCGAAAGTTCCAATAAATTGTGCAACACAAATAAAATCTGGATGTGCAGAAATTCTTTTATATTCGCCATGATCCTTGTCTGATGCAGCCTCTATGGATTTATTATCGTCTGTTGGGTCAGTTATTTCTTCTTTGATTTTTGTATCAATCTCTTTGTCTGGTGTTTTATTGTTGGTCTCTTTTGTTTCCACAACATTGTCAGAGTTTACTTCTTCTTTAATTTCATCTGATCAGATAATGATTTGAGATATTTGATAGGATATATTTCAAAATAAGGTCAAATAAAGCATAGAAAATAATAATTATCAATTTGAATTGAAACAATAAGTTTTGAAACCAAGCTTTATTTTAACCTTTACAGAGTTGAGTCTTCATAACATCAGGAGCAATCAATCTAAATCGTGTGGTGTCCTATCATCCTGAACAATTTAAGAGTACAACACTTGATAATAGAGCAATAGCCAATAAGTTTTTAAAAATTTAAGTAAAACAAAATTTAAGTAAAACAAAATTTAAATTGTATTGCCATTACAATGAATAATGATATAATAATAAATATAAGTAGACATCCGATAATATGCTTGTTAGATGCCACCTGACTAACAAAATAAAAAGAGCTAACATGTTCATAGTCCTTCAAACGCGCATACTTAGGCTGTACGGAAATAGCTATAATTCTACGTCATATTAAAAAGTCAACATCATTTTTGAAATACAAAAATACATTTGTTTAAAGGGCAACATTCGGGTTTAAGGTGTAAAAAACCCTACATGCAGTTTGCAGTTCAGTACTATACTTTACTATTACTAGCAGGAACCCGTCTAACCTTAAAGTGGTGTCAAGACTCGAGAGACTAAAATAATTATTACCTATTTAATTCACGTTTTTGACACCTCTTGGGAGTCCAAATTTTGGGCACTAAAATTCTTATTCCTTGGCCAATTTTTCATTTTTACATGCTGATTTGAAGGCCATTAAAGCATTTGACCCAGTCAAAAAAGTTTCAGTTGTATATCTTTTACGGTTTTTGCGGAAAGTCGCGTTAAAGTTGATGCCTTGGTGTCAGTAAAATGGCACGGATCCATATATCCATATATATCGTCTCGCTTACACATGTTCCTCAAGGAAACCCTGTCTTCAAATCTGTCAGGCAGACCCACCTGACAATCACAACACTAGATCAACCAAAATTTTTAACATTTTAACCCCAAAGTTCAGAATGACTGACTTTACTACTAGTGTAATGTGCTTGCGAGGTAAGTTAAAACGTGCGCTATTAGCTAATCAACATAATCACGCCCTGCTTGATTGGACCGTCAAAGATTTTGACTGCACAAATGTTATTGTCCAAACATAACTGGCTGGCCCAGTGGCAAATAGTCAGGCGTCCAGGAATTTAACACCTAGTCAAAATTTGTTGATAACCGGTAAAAAAAGATTCTTGTGGAAAAAATATTCACATTAATTTAAAATTAAATCAAAATTGGTCGCTCTCAGGGCTAACGCGATGTTACATCATTTTATCGATTCGAAGTTCGAATCGAGCGCATTCCTAGATTCCATGACTATTTCTTACCTATAAGATTGCTTGACTATTTTTTGCGCATTCAGACACCAAAAAACGCGCAGAAAACGCGCGCTATCCATTCCTGCTTCCTCAACATCCCGGAATATGAAAAAATAGTCATGTAAAATAGTCATTTGAAATAGTCATGCAAAATTTCAGCTCTGATACGCTAAAATATCAAGTTAATCTTAAACAATCGACAATCTAATATCAATCCTCCCAATCCTCCCAATCCTCCCAGCCATATTAACTGGTGAACGGTGTAAATATAGAGCGGTATTTTAAAATGTAGCATTCAAAATTTTATGGATTCAAGTTGGCTCCTTTAGTCTAGATTCATTTAGAAAATTCTCGAAGTTCGAGTAATACAGTATTCTCAGGGTTTGGCGCTTAAGGAAGCTTCACATCCGAGACCGATTTCCACGAATCAATTTAATATTGTAGCTACAAGTCAACAACAGTGCAAGTGGGAAGGAAGTGAATCTAGCCATTGCTACTATATCAGGGGAACTCGTGTGTTCTAGGCTTAAGCAAGCTTCACATCCTAGATCATCTAGAGTACAGTGCAGACAACCCCCTCCATTATACATCCCTATCCCGCTTTAAGTCCGAAGTTTATCGTCTAATATTGTATCTTACCTGGCAGAAGCAAGCTTCAGATCCAAAGTCAGGCCAAAATATCATCACAAGGTCGAAGCCACTTTCAGAGTAGCGAATCGTTCATCATGCTGATGAGAGTTAAATCTCAGAACTCGATCTACCGAGCCACTATGAAGCATGGAATGAAGAAGTATGTGGGCTAGGCTATATAGTTCTTTTAAAAAATATTTCCTTGCGTTTCAAATAAATTAAAGAATTCTCAGAAATTTTTTATTTAATTTCAAAATTTGCAATTGCATATTCATCCGGTAATTATTCTAATGGATACGCTAAGCATTTCAAACTAATCTTGACCTGGGAGAAGAGCTGACCAGTGACAAGTCGGCCGCGAAGCGGCCGAAAAATATATAGCCTTTTTTTCTTCCCAAACTGGATTCCTAGTCATATTTAAAATTTATTCCACTGGGCTGGCTGGTCACACACATCTCAATTAAAATTACGCTAGGCCACTGTTTTCCAAGTCTTGTCCTGTGAGTAAAGTATGTGTGAGAAAGTTTTAATAAAATCATTGTATATTTATTTATTTTTGAATTTTAAAAATCTAATTTGAGAATGAAGGTTAAAGAAATTTTTAATTAGCACTGTATAGTTTAAGATATTTATAGCTTATTATAACAATTGATACAAAGGCCATAATCTTTCACCAGCTCTCCAATATCCACCTTGAAGCTGCATTTTATATCCTAAATATAAACTAAATCATGTTTTAGTGTAGACTTTTGTCACAACAAGACTGCAACCTATAGTAACAATTATAAACAGAACCTCTAATGTCTGCTAACAATTTTTCTTCTAGTCCTAATCTGAGCCTTGTCTCTAAAAACTTAACTGAACTAGCGTTTCGGTGTGTGCAAAAGCTTCCAGGCACGCGCATTCCTTGCCCCGTTAGTTACCTGTCCTTCATAAACCAAACTAGCAGTCAGGACAAAAAGTCATACACCAAATGGGCATTATATTTTATGAATTGTTTTACATCTTTTTATTCTGTAAAAATGTGCTAAAATTAAATTTCTTGTTTCATTGAATTTCTTGTTTCATTGTTTCATTGCTTTATATATAGTAAGATTTTATATACTATCATTTATGAAAAAGAGCATTATGATCACAAACGAGCTTTCATTCTACCTTTTGCCGTGTACCTTTTTCGACTCCACGGAGTCCCTGATGGACTTTTGTTTACTTTTGTTAAGGCCAGAGGGGGGGGTAAATGGCACTTTTCTAGTTTTCACATATTTGATAATAGCTGCTGGAGACGAACAAGAAGAAAAAAACCAGATCAAAATCTGACCTTGCGTTCCTGAGATATCGCGCGCTAAATTTTGAGGTTTACCTGTAATTACATGTTGAACTGGATCTTTAAACGGCTGTAACTTTTTTGACCTTTCGATTCCTTAGTTGAGAAAACCGGCCACTCCCTGATCTTGAGGTTTGGTACTGTGGTTCCTTAGACAATTATCCTCATTTATTATGTGAGCGATTTTTGTTATTTGACTCGGTTCTTGAATTATGAGGTTAACCATGTCAAAAATTCGGAAAATTTAGCTGGTTAACCTCATAATTCGAGAACCGAGTCAAATAAAAAAAATCGGTCACATAATAAATGAGGATAATTGTCCAAGGAACCACTGTACCAAATCTCAATATCAGGGGGTGGCTGGTTTTCTCAACTAAGGAATCGAAAGGTCAAAAAATGTGTTTTGAGATAGATGCAATTTAGTGTTTTCAAAATTTTGAATATTCACTGGAATGTATCACAGTTCGTTAGTTAGGACTTTTTATAAACTTAATAACGTTTGCTTGATCAGACCTGGCCGTCCCCTAAATGATTTTAGCTACTTTCAGTAGTTAATTTCCTTGTATTGTAAAAAATGAGGTTAACCAAGACTTCCTGTAAACACTAACTGCTTAAAATTTGGTTGTTAACCTCGCTTTAGACCATATAACACTGGGATTGGTTTATCAATATGTTATTATATATGTAGTAAAACATTTGCACAGTATAACGATTAAGTTTTTGAGGTTAAAATATAATTGATTAGTCAGGTATTCAAAAAATGAGAGGTTAACCTCATTTTTTAGCCATTTACGGGTAAAATCTTCTACTAAAATATGGTCAGTTCGAATCACCTTTGTCACGTGATTATAGTTGTAGGCATTGTGATACCAATAGATACCTCACTTCGATATTGTGGTACATTACATAAGTAAGAATCGTATGTATATTCCCTACGGTACCAAAATGTGTTGGTTAACCTCATTTTTTTCATTTTCCCAAGATAAAAGAAAGTCAATCAACACGTCATCTATTTAGAAATGTGTATACCGTAAACTTACGATGAAAATAATAACTCTATCATTTGATCTATTCTCGCTATATCTAAAAGACGAGGTTAACCTCATATAATCACGTTTGGATATTACTTTCTCTGACAATTATGAACCTAAAATTTAGAGTTTACATTTGCTGACCGAAATAACAAAAAATTATGGCGTGTAATAAAATATTAACCTCAATTTTATTAACCTCAATGTTGTATAGTCAATTTTGTGAAAATCGGTTAACCTCAATTATAAAATAAAGTTAATCAGCTACAAATATGTGAATAGCGGCAATGTTTTTGTCATTAAAAATTAAATCGATTTAGAAAATAATATTTTGGTAGAATTTTTTGACCCCTTACCCCCCCCTCTGGCCTTAATAATTTGACCAACCTTTCTCAGTGGCGTAACGAAGGGCCCCGCTGACCCCGCTGTGCAGGGGGGCGCCGTCTTAGGGGGGCGCCAAATCGTCGTTTGAATGTGGGACAATTTCGAAAACTTAACTAAAGTACTAGCAAAACTGCGCGTTTTGCTCTAGATACACACTTTTTTAGAGATTTTACCGGCTCATCCTCTAAAATCACCTAATTTGTTCAATTTTAGGGAGGGGCACCAAAAGGGGAGGGGGCGCCTTTTCGGCGGGGGGGGGGGGGGCCAACAGGCAACGTTACGCCACTGATGATTGGGAGTTAGTCAAGAGACCAGTAATAGCATAGTAGGAACGTAGATTGTTTGGGCCCAGAAAAACATGTTTAATACCGCTATGAACCCGTCATAAGCCGGGGACTACTATGAAAGTGATGATGCTGTGTTGTTGAAAGACCTTCGACCAATCAAAGATGTACCTCATCACGCCAAGCAGTTATGCTTGTAGGTG